GCAGCTTAATGCGAGTCGTGAGTAACATTTGTCGGCCGTCTAGACTTTTGACTTTCGCTGACCTCTGCCCTATAACTGTTTACTACAGTTTTTTCTTCTTTCTTTTTTGGCAATTAGAGAGCAAGTGAAGAGGCTATTTGACTATTTGTCATGGCTCATCCACATGTCGATGACTTGGACAACTTTCTGGGATATGGCCATGCATTGTCTGCCGAAGTGCCCATCCTTAATAGCCGTTTCGATATTTCTGTCTGCTGTTGCTGCTGACATGGAAACTTTCGATTCGAGCGACTCCCTAACCGAGTCATTTGCAGCTGCTTACCTTTAAATTCGCACCTAGACAACTGTCTGTTTCAATTTCTTCGTCACATCGCTGTCAATTATCTGGGCGACACAGCAGGACTTTATAAGCTGCCACTTCGGAGAGTTACCAGGTCCTGTTTGGGTAGACACCAGCCGACGGATGTATTCATGCATCAGCCCGGCCAAAGTGACATTTATTGGCTGTCAGGAAGTCCCTCAGTCCGTCACTCAGTCAGACGGTCGACAGTCGACAGTCGACAGTCGGCAGTCGGAGAACTGGGAAAACTCGGAGAACTGACAAAGGCGAAGGAGGGGACATTGGAAAAACACTTTGTCAGCCTTCTGCTTTTCGGGCAATGAATTGATGTGTCTTGCATGCGAATTATGAAGCACTAAGGGGTGAATGTGTGAATGTCCTTCATATGTAAAGAGGACACTGTCTGCTGTTAACCTGTTTCCCCAACACAATCGATTTTATCGACAGTGCGAGATGATATTATACGAAGCTACATATATTGTTAAATGCTTGTTGCCTAGAAAAACATTTTAAAGTGAAAATAGTAAAAGACTTATATTTTTATTAAGCATTTTTCAGGTCTATATCTTCAGGTCTTATTCAATTGGGATTTTCCTCCAACCATTTATGTTTGGCGTCTGGACACCAGGCACAGCAAGCGATGTCATTGCATTTATGACCCATACAACAGCGGCAGCAGCTGACCGCAGATCCTGCAAACAGACAGAGGAGCATCGCGAGGCAGCACCAGGAGCGAGGTCAGCCACGAAGGAAACTGCAGGTGGCGGTGTGTCATCGTTGGACAAGCAAACCAGATTGACAACCGTCCAGCAGGTGGGGCTGCCCCTAAACTGAATACTCTGCGGCATTAGGCAATTTTCCACGGCAGCTGGCGACGGCGATCCATCATCGTGCGCCGGTCCATGGCAAACAATGTCATTACCTGCACTTCATCCGGACCACACGAAAATAGCAGCGCACATGCTTTCCACACACGCGCCAGGGACCTAACACACCGACCACAATTAAGATAATGCAGAGTCAACAAGACAAGACCTTTCAGAGAAGTCAGCTGAAGCATTGCACTGGAAGAAAATTGGGTTGCTGGAATCCTCTGATACCTTAAGACAACTTGTAGTAAGATGGCTTGAGTTTGGAGAGCCGCTAAAGATATAAGACCATGGATATGAAGAAAGACAACCTTCCCAAAATGTGACATATTTACTTCGTTTAATATTTTGATTTTTATTTTCTGTAAAATTCCTTTTTCAGTGCATGCTAATGTCGTTGAACTGTCGTTGATTCATGTCTTCAACAAGTATATTGGCAACGTGGCGTATGATTAATGTGCCTCCTAATTGCCGACTGAGACAAAGTGAAGTGCCAGCGATATTTTTTGAGCACGAGTATGTGCCACTCAGACGTTGCTTAACCTTTAAGCCAAGTCAAGTATTAACAATAAAATAATGGAAAGGAAAATATTTAAAATGTAATTTACTCTCATAAAGGCTATTAACAAGCAGCCAATTTGAAATTTTTCAAGGCTGTATTCGATATGGTTGAGGTCACTTCCATTTAGGTAACTCAGTCACAAAGGACTTCGTGGAAAAGATGGGGGAACGAGAAAATGTTTGCACATGGCAACGACAGAACTTCGATTTGCTGCGACAAGCAAATGCAAACAAAAGCAAGAAGGTACCTGGAAAATTGTCGCTTTAACTTAGTTTATAATGCCACTTGGATGAGTTTGCTTGGCACAAATGCGAATGCGACACTAGGAGAGGGTCGCCACGTATGTTTCTAGCATAGTCTTCTCTAATATCTAAAATATCAGTAACTTCCCTTTGAACACCGTGAATATCCTTTCATTTATGCTGCCACACGGATGGTCCTTTCAGAGCAGAGAATGCAACGAAATAATACGCCAAGCAGGAGCACAAGACAGATGTACTATATGCCAGAGCAGCCGGAGCAGGGATTTCAAATGGTTTAGTTCGGAGCAGTCGGTTGGTGTTAAAAGAGTCGTAGAACCGAACCGAAATGCAAATACCGGGCGACACGTGAGCCCCGCCCACTTCAACGCCCCTTTCGGTATGCAATTTGCCATTTATTCAATTTGAATATTCACACCATTGTGTAAAGCGAGATCCCCAGCTATAGTATATCCACGCATTCAACTAGCTGAGATGGAATATCCGAGCTAGACACCGCCAATGGTATAATAAGCCAAGTCAGAGGACAAAGGCACAAAAAACTGAATACAATAATAACGCCCAACCGAGTGAGAGTTAACAAAAGTCAACATATCGGAAAATGAAATAAATATTTTTATTATTATGTAAATAGCACAATGCAATGAAATTCAATTATATTTAATTTGTATGCAAAGAGCAAAGGCAATAGGAAAAGAGTTTTCATATCTATCATGCAATTACCGTATTGTTTTTGAAATAACTTACTGAAGAGCGCTGCTAAAGAGCCTTACATTAAAATAAATATTTGCAAATTTGGCTTGAATAATCAATGGAGGGAAAATGTAAAGTGAAAACTAATATAGAGAATTTTTTCCAACCAAAGGTTGGATTTGGCGAAGGTCTTTCAGGTCACAAAGCAATTATTTAGCTTGTCAATTTGCAATTATGGATATTCTCCTTTATTTACATTTGCCTTTCCGTATTTATTTATGATATTTATCGAACAATGGCCCAATGTTTTAATCCACCAAAGCGTTGCAGCATTAAGTCCTGATGGAATTAATCATTTTTGTTTTCGCTGTTGTTTGACTTTGGTGCGTCCATGATAATGCCAACTAAATTTAATATTAATTCAATATAAATTCATTATAAGATTAATTCATATTATTTTCATTGTTAATCGATGCACAGCAGCGTGCAAATGCGCTTAATGAGCTTTAAAAAACTGCAAATAAATTAAAAACAAAATGCGAACTCTCGCTTCGGCGACCACAAAATGCATAAAGTTTATGAAAACCAACAAATGCCATGGTCTTTCGAGCTGCGATTGACTAAGTTTTTTGGTGGCTCATAAAATATGTACACTCCGCCTTGGCCACTCATCGAAGTCCAAGACTTCGCTCCTCCATGCTGCTTGCTTTCTTAATTAAAAATTTGATTTAAGCAGCAAACAATGAAAAACGGGTCCTGGCAAACTAATGAAATGGAAAATGCAAGCCAAGAAATAATTACCCATGCATATAAGCCAAATGCAAATTGCGAAGTTTGTTTTCCAGAGGGTGAGGGAGGGAGAGTTTGGAGAGAGTGCCGTATAACTTTCAAGAAGCTTTTAAAAAATATCCTCAAGTGGGTGAAACATAGCGGAAGCGACTTCAAGTTTTTCTTCCATTGAATAAAATATTTCAGTTTAAATTGTTTAACTCAGCCTCAGGATATTTTTACAATTACTGAAAAGCTTAAATATCTAAAATTTATACACCTTTTCCTTCTCATATCAATTAAGATATCTTTTTGCAGTAATGCACTTCCTGAATAATGGATGAAAGTATTACTTTTCAATAGTAATAGCACTTCGCTTTCCTCTGCAACTTTCATTAAAACACCTTTTGTGGCCTCAGCTCAACGAGAATTATTTAAATGTGTTTTTTCCTGGGCATTAGTGTGCATTAATATTATTAAAACTAAACAACAATGGGAATGCTAGCCTGGAGCACTGACCTCATTTGTCTGGTCGGGGAGTTGGAGTCGAAATAGAGAGTCACCAGTGGGCGGCTGAGGGGGCGTGGGAGCTGCTGTCGCCTCACTTGATGGAAGTCCTCTGTTGATTTGTGACGCCTTTTACTTTTCGCTTTATGCGCTCCTCCCATTTGTTTGCATTTGCGTTGACACTCACTTCATTTAGCAGCCCACAGCAGCTGTAGTTGCAACCTCACAAAGGGAACAGTAATAGCAACAGCAACAACAACTCCTGCAACAGCAACGGCAAGAGCAACAGCAACAGCAACATCAGCTGCAAGTGATGTACGTGAGTGCAAGTGCAATCCGCCCTCGGCTGCAGGTTAAGGACCTTCTTTTGAACTTTAAAATGCTTGCTTTCGGACATGTGGGTCTCTGTGTTGTAAGGTAAGTCAGCTAGTTGATACCCTGGACAGCCATCTAGGTATGCTAGGTATTTAAAATAACTTATATTAAAAACTTTATAAAACTGAATACAAAGAAAGAGTCCTTTTATATACTACTTTATGCGAAACACAAACTTCTGTCAATCTTTTTGCCAGGATGGATACTGCTCCGTCGACTACCCTCTTAGTTATTACTTACATATTTATTTTGCCACTCCAGCCCACTGTGGCACCCACGAGAACCCCTTCAGACCTACTCATACCCTCTCATCTTTATTTGTGTTTGTGTTTGCTTTGTGGTTTTGCCATCACATCCAGTCCCCATGACGCTTTTTAATCTTAAGCGCCTTCCATTCGCCACAATTGTCCAGGCCGTGAGCCTGCGACTTGGCTACGGCCAGCTGAACAAATATGTATATATATAACCATTTTTACCCTTGCTACCACAGTTCCACCTGGCGACTTATGGCCGGCTTATGTGCTCGCAAACCAATTAAAATGGCCAACGGAATTGTAAGACCCCAGACACGAAGGCAATGCCAGCAAATTAATTTCAAAGGATTACGACTGGGCCCAGAATTGTATTTAGTTGATTTCGTTTGTATATTTGGTCATGGTAAGAAAGTCAAATCCTACAAGTGAAGTATTTTTAACATCGTTTCAAGCATCAAATTAATCTGGTTAAGTTTCTTTGGTTTTTTGGTATCATCGAAACAACTTTCTGTAAGTTTAACTGCGTGCAAGGTGTTTCTTGGGTACCTTATTGAATTCCTTATAGGCAGCATCTCCTTTCTTTACTACTTGTGCTGCTGCCTCGAAACGCCGGCGATAATGTCGCTCCACACTCTGTTCCGGGTTCAAGTTCCTGAATCGAAGCTCATCATGGTTGAAATCTTCATCGTCGTGGTCTTCATCTTCAACCACCTTACGGAATAGTCTCCCAAAAATAATTTACAAAACGTCTAATACGTTCCACCTTAAAAAGTCGGAAAGTAAGAAAGCTCAAAATAACTACAAGCAGTCCAAATAAAATAAAGTTATTGCTGATAATGCAATAAACGCGACTTAGTTTCTGGTTGAATTTTTCCATTCTGATCAGTTTGTTGAGAAAAATTTATGCTAACCGTTTCTATACGTTGCTTTGAATGAGCACAGAAATCTGAAAATCGATGTTCTTGAAAGCATAAAAAACCCCACTTGCTATATATCTGAGGTTTTGTTTTGTAGTCTCTCTCAGACTTCTCAAATAAGTAATCAGTAAGCCTTTAAATCGCAGCTCTAAATCATTGAAACAAAGTCAAAGGACACAAAAGTGTGCATTGTTTACTTTCTAGGAGAACGGCTCTCAAGGACTCAGTTTTCGACTGCGACTGAGCCTGACCGCCACTCGAGGGTTCACGAAGGCTCTTAACCCGCTGCTTGAGGCTGTGGCTAAGTCCACACCCCTAGTGCAAAGGACTAGGATGAAAATAAATTAAAAATGTGTTAGACACACACACTCTTACACTGGACACTTATCCAGGCGGCCGCATACACAGACATATTAAGGAACGTGACTTGGCTGTCCTGAGACACCGCCATATAAGTTTAGCATGTTATGAAAAATGTATACAAGGACAGGAGATGGAGGAATGACTGCCTTTGCCTTTGTCAGCTCGGCACGTAACCGGCCACGCCCAGTCTCCTTGGCCGTCGCCGCCGCAGCCGCCGCCTCCCGAGTTCCCTTCGCTTTTAATGACAAAAGTTATGACGACAAATGACTCGGTTGACTTTCACTACGAAATCAGAGCCGGGAGCTCCACAATGGGACCATGAATCATTTCCCGTTGACTTGACTCCGCTGGCTGAATTCACTTTTGCCATTTTGGCCGCCTTGATTTGTAGACGCTGTTAAAAAGCTCTCTTCATTTATCATTATGCAAATTATAAATTTAATTTTAACGCCGAGCACAGTGCAGATAATAATGTAAATGTTTTTAATGCCTCGCTGATAATTATGCAAGTCTTGCTGCATCGGCGAAAAATTCACGCTCGACCGCAGCCGCCGGCGCGTCGGGCAAATTGAATTTGTTAATCAACTGCATTTAGGCTTAATTGAAAGTGCCGTATAGAAGCCATAACAACGGGCAGACCTTTAAAACTAAATTTAATAAATAATTCTGCACGTGTCTCGCGGGGATTCGCTATAATCAAGCAGAGTAATTACAAAGTGGTTTTTGCTTTAAAACATATTTAACTAATTTGTATACATCTGTTCTGATAAAATATCCAAGCCATTTCCTCTCAGTTCTCTATGATTATAAATACCTGATTAGTGCTTGGCTTGGGTTGAATTGCCATTGCCAGTTTGGCAAAAGCAAATGTTATATTAGCCCAATAACTTGGTCAAATTAAATTCAATCTGGGGCACTTCACACTGGTTATTAAATGCAGCCAACTAATTTCGAGCTGCAGGCGGAGAACTCATTACCCTTTGAAGCTGTCAAATAAACATGAAATGGAAAATTGCATTACGACTTGTTAGTCGTACATTATATAATGCTTTTTGCTGGTAACTTGACATGTGCCTCACATCAAATTTGAGTTGATAATTAGGCCAAAAGTAAACCAGCTCGGGGCTGCTAGTGGTAGTGTGACAAGCTGTCTTGAATTTATGCCTAAATTAATATATGCCCTATCCCCACACAGTTGCCCTCACTCGAGCATGGGCAGCATTATTTACTGTGCCGTACCTTTGCCTTAGGCGACCTTGTGTCATAGGATGCGTTAATTCAATTTTATTACGCATACGCAGTGTGGGCCGAACACAAAAAGACATGTCGGCCATTTAAAGTGCTCCTTTGAAATTTCGCCTAATATCTGCACTGCGACAGTTTGAAGTGTGTTTAACAAGGGTATATATGTTGACTTACTCCTTTCTAGAGCAGCAATTAATTAGCATGCCTTTGCTTACCCCTTCTACACGAACACATTGGATTTCCACAATCAGAAGACACATAAATTTTCCTTGCCAAGTATAGCTTAAGTGATAGGCAGAAGCAGAAAAAGTAGATAAAAGGGCGAATGATTCTATGATAGCAGTACAAGTCTCTTAGACTAAAAAGTTATTTATATTAAAATATTTTCCACTCCACAAACTTAATCGAAAGTATCTACAGATAGTGATTGAGGCAACGCTTTTTGTCCGTAACTTTCAAACTAATTTGTTCGCCTCGCCCTTTTATCTGGGTCTGAAATTACTTTGGAAATATTTGTAAAGAAACCGCCGCCTACATATTTCCACCTTTTTTAATATTTTATGCTCTTTATAGGCGCAATGTGGGCTGCATCTGATGGCGTTGCCACTTTTGCCTTTGTGCAATTGCTTTTTGCGGATATTGTTGTTAGTTTTACTTTTGAGATTCGTGTTGGTTTTCGCTGTTTGTTTTTGCATTGTGCGATGGCGCTTTTGTTTTACACGGCCAGCATTGAGACTGTGGTTTTTGTATTTTGTATTTCTGTTGTGCCGACTGCTCCGGCTGCCGTGTCCTATTTGTATCCTGTTGGCACACACACACACAGACACACACACACAGATACAAATGCCCACATACACTTACGTTCGCTCGCATTTATGTCTATTGGCGCGCGTCCATTTCCATTTCATTTCCGTTATTGCAAAACTTTTCGTATTAAATATATTTTTCTCTCAGCGTTTGTTTCATTTCGAAGCCCTTTTTGGTTTTTGCACTCTAGCAAAGTTGTTTGTTGTTGTTGTTGCTGTTATTTCTGGTACTTTATGCGCCATGGCCATTATTGCAGTTGTTTCCTTTATTGTACAAGTACAAGCATAAAAATCCCCGTATTTCCATATAAATATTTTGCCCACTCACCCGCCAACCCGCCACGCTGCCTCGCCTTCGCCTCATTTATTGTGGCCTACTTACGGACGAGTGTGCTCGGGCCAGCGGCTTACAAATTGACATGCAATTAAATGTAAGCCACAGGCATTTATTATAATTGTTACACCCTTCACAGTCGCAGTCCCTCTCCTTTGGTTTGGTTTGGTTTGGTTTTTCCCGGGCCAACCGCCAGGCCGCCCCTGGACAAATGCTGATGCTGATTAGGCAGCTCTAATAGCAACAAACTAACATTGTTGTTGGCCTCCTCTGGCAGCTGCAATTAGCATTCTGCGCTGTAATAAATAAAGTAAAATTAACCACAATACCCCAAACAAAACGCTCGACCAAATTGTCCACATTAATTTAATTTTCAAACAAAAAGTCAGCTGAAAGATTGCCTTCTATTTTTGTCGGGCTTTAATTTCGAAAATATTTTAAACTAACTGCCACGGATTTTAGTTTTTATCAGATTTGTAATCTCAAAACTGAATATTTTCAGCAGAGTTTATTCGGTTGCATGTCATATCCCCACTTCTGATTGTTTATCGTTTAAAATTCAAACTTTTTTTCATATTTTCAATGATCAGAAATGTATACATTTGTTTAATTTGCAGTGGGATAAAAACTAAATTGGTTTGACTCGTCCTTTCAATATGTTTGCATTTATTTAGCAAAATAAAGTTCACCTTTTTTGCATATTTCATGGGCCAACGCATTCAGAACGAGCAAGTGACCGCAAATTTTTAGCGCATTTGAATTAATGACAACGAGTATCAGTAAAAAATAAATGTTTAACCGCAAATCAGGTTAGTTTTCTCTTTTCTGTCTCGTTAACCATCTGCACATGAAGTTAAAAAATAAAAATAAACAAGAAATGTAAAAACTGCTAAATTTTAGTTATATTCTTTTTAACTGGTAATTCTGATTAATAAGTAAATCATAGTTTAGGAAAGCACAGCATCGCTGAACCAGAAGGTCATGCGATCACCTTGGGAAAGCTTTTGTGGCACGGTGGTTGAGTGGTTTCGTGCCACCGAATTGTAGCGTCTAAAGTTTTCATTTCCGGCATTCAGACGATCCGCCAATTCGGCAGCCTGCTGGTTCAAGGATTGGCGATAGGATAAGGCAGATTCCGACTGGATATAGCTAGGGCCATCCTTCGATTCGGGTAGCACTTTTGACATGTTGGTTCTCAATTTAATCACATCATTCGATGCGGTTTCCTGGGATTTTTTGGGGATAGGATTAGAGGGGGGTTGTTCTTTGGAATCTTTGATTACTGCATCGGAAGGCTTTGCCTTCACGGATTGTTGGGATATGACTTTAGATTTCTGTGGTTTCAGAGATGGTTCAGAGGCAGAGACTCCGGCCTTTGAGTTCACGGTGCGCTGAGTTCCGGTTTCCGAAGGCTTATCCGATACCTGTGGCTTAACTGTGGTGTAGGAAACTTTTGCTAATTCTGAGGATTTTGGTGACTTTAAAATTGACTTTGGGGTAAGGGTATTGTTTGAAGTATTTGAAGAAGTCTTGTTGGTGACCGCAGATCTTGCCTGGGAAACATTTGAAGACTTAGAGGCAATGCTTGACTGACTCTGCTTGGATGTAAAGCTTTTCTTGGTAGTCACACTTGATTTCGATGCGGACACTTTGGAATTTGCTTTACCCTCACCACTGGCCTGTCGGCTTGACCGCACTGGTAGCAAAGTGCGGAGGGATTCCTTCGCAACAGTTTCCTTTGACTGGGAGTCCTCGGTGAGCTTCACCTTTGAGATAGCGCCCGCATCAAAGCGGTCTTTTTCATGGATGGCTGCGGCCTGCTTCTTGGCCACGGCCATTTCCTCATTGATGGCTTTGGAGACGGCCACCTCGCCGATCTTCGATGAGGACTTTGTAACCGCCTTGCTTGCAGTCTCCTGCAAATATTCGGGCTTGGCCACGAACACCGGTGGTGGATATGTAACGCAGGTGGGGATTTTGAATTCGGAGGGGGTTCCACTATTGGGTGGCCCCACATTGAACGGATTGAAGGGTTCAACGTCGTAGTCATCCGGGAACATGTTGGTCAGAGAGGTTAGGAATTACCTAAGGGACATAAGGTTTATAACCCAATCTTAAGCTCTAAGATCGCATGGCTAAGACTCACTTGATTGGGTTTAAATTTTAGATGATATGGGCCAAGATGTGGTACTTGCCAGTCTTTAAGATGGTGGGCCGAATAGTTTTTTGTGATTTTTTAATGGATTTAAATTTGAATATCAAGTTACCAACTGACACAAAACTCAGCTTATACTGGACTTACAAAATACTAATGGTATGGTTTAGCTAGGAAGAAGCAGTCTAATTATGTTTCTTGAATTTGAATGCCCACATAAATCCTCATTGTTATCTTACATATATCTTACGAAATAATCTCTCTTGTCCCTTTCCTGCATGCATTTTTCCTGTATACAGACAGTCTGGGCTGCATACTTCAGGTTCTACTCTTAGCTTAATTAAAATGCCTCCTCTTAGAGCCAACTCCGTGTATCAATTCAGAGTGTACGTGCTGATAAGGTGTAAAAATCCTTTGACTTTGTCATTCATGAAGCAAACAAAGAGGTGTTGTTCAGAGGTTACGTGGGGCGTATTAATTAGCAGTCCAGGAGGATTTCAAAAGAGTGGCCGAGAGCTTGTTGTCAAGATCTGTTTCTATCTCAGGCCAGTATTTCGATCAACTTTTCGGTGTTCGGTTATTGAAATTCGGGAAAAATTCTTATAAAGAAAACAGAGAAACTCTTCTAATATGAATAGTCAGCAGCAAATGCCTAACAATGGCACGGTTATGTATGGCAGCGGGCTCGTCTTTGGCGGAAAAGTGTATCCCGTTCTGGTGGATGGTGTTCCCATGCAGCCGCCCTTGAGTGCTCAACAGGCGGCAGTGCATCAGCGAATGCAGATGAAGCAGATACAGCCGCAGGCTCCAGCAACTCAGGGCCACAAGGGCATTGCACCTCATCCGTCATATGGACGAAGTTGTGACCGACCAGAAACTCCAGGTCCTGCACCATCGTATATGACCAAGCCAAGCCAGCAGAGCTTTAGTCCATGTCCTGGTGCTACCATCGCCCAGCAGCAACAGCAGCGGCACCAATTGCAGTCACCGTGCAACAACCAGGCGATTATACAACAGCTCCAGGCGCAGATACTGCAACGACAACTACTGCAGGCTTCCATGGGCAATCCCTACAGCCACTACGGCAACTACAACCTGCAATCGAATGCGGGCGACGATACTAGCAGCTGGAATGGCTATGCCATGATGCACCCATCGGATGCAAATAAACCGTATACATTCAGCTGGAATCACATCGATTGAAAGCTTTCCGTCTGTAACTGTGTTCGGCCAAATTATGAATTTTTAAACGCCTATCTGTCTGGATTACCTCTAATCAAATACTTTTTTTTACCATCGGTTGGAAGCATTCCGATCACTTGGGGAGAAACTTGGTCATAACTTGCAGTGGCTGTCCTTTTTTAACACTTCATTTAGCTCTGATGTTGCTTTTTGGGGGCAGGAGACATCTCGTTTCTGGGGGTTGGTCGTCATTTAGTGGTAAATTTCCGTCTTAGTAACCAACGAACGTCAGACGTGACATTTTGCAAATTCCGTTTTCAGCATTTTGTAATCGTTCCGGCATACGTGTGCTCCTGGAAGTGGATGCCTCCCTGCGCCACCCATTCAGCTGCTGATGCGGTGGATGCTGCTGGTGACACTCACTCAGGTTGTTCGTGGTACTAGCCGGATTGGAGGAGCATGTGTGGCCAAGGGGTTGTAACTGGTTTTGTAGTGGCTTCTGATTTTTTTCGCTGGTTCTTACCAAGCTCTGATGATGATACTCTACGAGAATATGCTCAGTATTATGAAAATACATTTTAAAATCAACTAAAAGAACTTGTTAAGTGGGAACATGAAAGCCATTGCCCAAAATCAATTTAAAATGTTTGATAAATTATTCCACATTTCCTTTCTTTTTTTTTGATATTGTAAGGTGTTAAGGTTTCTGTGTTGGATTTTATTCGAATTTTATTTCTTGCCAAGTATTTACGTACGAAGCACAGCAAAGTCAATTATAACTGTCGGTTTGTGTATTTATTACAATCATTTTTGATACCACACGTCGCAGCAGTTATCCAAGCTGTGTGAAATAATAAAATAAATTAATGTTGCATAAGAAAATATGAGTATTGGTTGAAGGAAATTTACAGTAGAATATATTTTCTGGAGAACCAGTTTTAAGTGTTAAAGTGACGGAGAGGAATCAAAGTTTAGTTTAAAAGTGGTGTTGAGAAACCTACAGATTAATACCTCTAAAGAATGAATCTGGAATGTTGTCTCTTAAGCTGCTCACCCTGCTCATTTGAAAGGGATCAACTTTCCTGCTTACTGCGATAATTAACATTATTTCCATAAATAACTTTCTTTGTGGCAAGCCTTCGAAGCAAAGCTTCTGACGTCATCGGGACTTTGCTGGAGAAAACTCAAGCCGCAAGCTGCATGTTGGCAAACACTCATACACTCTCGGCTCTCTAATGATGATCCCTAAAGTCAACTTGCTAAAGTAACACGAGCTCAAACATGCACACACACACACACTGGGATAGCGGACTCATAAGCACACAGTGGTATTAACGCCATAATTCGTAAGTTACACACACACATACTCACACTCTGGCTCCGCAAAAAGGATTAAGTTATATTAAAGTTGTGAGCGCTGCATTTTAAGTTCTCCTCCTTTGACGATGGCTGAAATGCAGGAAGCCATGAAACCGAATCCAAAAGTGAAGCTGAAGCAGAAGCCAAGGAATTCGCACACACGATCTTGAGGGTAAAAGGACCCTGCCGGCCAAAAAGTGCGCTATGCAAATTTCAACTGACCCACATTTAAATAATAATAATATTCGGGGCGGTGAGCCCGTTATAAATGCAATATATGGCATAAGTTTACGCATTGCAATCCTCGGTCTCGAAAAAAGAAGCTGAAATGAAATCCCCATGGCTTGTATAAATTTGCAATATTTTTATATAGTTGCAGTCACTGGCATTTTTTTACCCAGCAACTTACAGGTCAAGTGTTAATTTTTGTTCTCGTTTTTATTTCAGTTTTATTGTTCTTGTCCTTGCCTTTTACGTATGTGCACATTTATGCGAAAAGTTTGCGCAAAAGTTTAATTTAAAAAATGCATTCGCAGTGACTTTGACCAATCCGCTAAAAATAATAAAAAAAAAGAAACAAAAAGAAAACCAAATAGCGCCACAAAGCCGACAACTATGAAGTGCATCGTCCCAGAGGCAGACTGACTGGAAATTGAAAAAATTAATTAGCCTTCTTTGGCCTTCGGATAAGCGCACTAAAATCAATTTAGGTTTTACTTTGTCTACTCCAGCCTTATTAATTGCTAACTTACTTGGCTTTCGTGGAAATCAAAGTAAAGAGATGTAAAAATTCATAGGAATCCCCAATTAAAAGTCCAAGTCTGATTAAATTAGATCTGCGTGTGCAGCTGCCAAAGAACCCTTGGCGTATTTAATTCTCAACCTGTCATATAATATTCCAGTTGCTTCTTAACACTTTGCCGAAATATGCTTTACGACCCCACCGTGTCTAATAAAACTTATATGTCTGGGAGTCATAAAACCCACGGAGCATCCCTATACCAAATGGCATGCGATATTTAGGCCAGACCGTTTGGTATTTGCGAGGGCGAAGCCAACTTGTTGAAGTGTTTATTGTTTAGAATCCCGCGGCGTCGGCATCAGAATACATAAAACATTTTTTCGTTTTAAATAAAAGATACGCAGATGAGAGGCTCGGTGGGTGAGTAAGTAACCTTTTCAACTTCTTCAAGGCTTTGGGGTGTTGTCTGAGAATTGGATACGCATTTCAAGTCTGAAGGAGGTATCTCAGACAGTTCTTGTGTGGGAGGAATGTGTAACCGCATTCCACCATTTCAAAATTAGTTAGGGGCTTCAAGAATTTGAATTAAATGTATGAAAAGGAGTGGAATCTGAATTTTATTATCAGGACCCTTCTTGAAAAGAAGAAATCTGTGCTTCTGGTGTCAACACCTGCTGAGTTCAATCTACAAATATTCATAGTTTTTCCGATCACACCTATATTTTAGTTTACAATGGATGTGAGCAGCGTTCTCGGCCGTAACACTTTCCGTCGAACTGGACGCCACACCAGGAGAAAGCGCTTAAGCGGAGGGACCGAGGTCGTAAAGAAATCCCTTGCCCAGAATGTTGAGCTCCCTAAAGAGCCCAAGGCCTTGCAGCAACGAGTCTTCCTCTACATCCAACTGAACGAAATGACCAACCTGCCGAATACAGAATATCCTCTGGAACTGCATCTTTACCATCCAAAGAACACTCTGCAGAAGATGCAGGAACGCTACACCACAGAGACCATCATCTACCAGCGGGAGTTCAATTTGAAGAAACCCGTTTTCGCGATGGGAGTGATGCAGGACGATATCGAGGACATGAACACGTTCAGTGATCAGCCTTTGCTGATTTCTCTCTACCAAAGAATTCCCAGACGTCGCAAAGGAGGTTCCAGAAAAGGTAAATCAAAGACGCAACTTATTTCTCCCTCGCAGGAGGCCAGCCAATCAACAGAGGCCTCGGAGTTTGGTGAAAATGTCAACAAGAAAAGATTGAGTCTGAAAGGATCTGACCAAGTTGACGAAGAATGGGGTGAAGAAGGTGAGGGAGGTACCTTTTTAGAGGGGAGGCTGGAACTTCTGTCCCGGGGTCACTGTGATCTGTTGCAGCTTTTCCAGCGACGTCGCTTTATAAGCGACATTACCATATATCTGTATCCGGAGTATAAGAGCAATTTCGCAGGCGAGGACCACTGAGAAAATCACCACGCACAGCGTTTGGCACATGTACTCCATTCTGCCCATCCTGAAGAACTTCAACTTCACGAACTTGGCCTTTTTGACTCTGGAATCGATTTACAATGTTCCAGACGATCTGCATTCCCTATCCGCTGACCTGGGCCTGAGTGTTGCCTTTCGTTCAAAGGAACCAGAAGGGGAGGATGGCACCTTCAAGGTGATTCCCCTGTGCACCTATTCCGGATTTATATCCCAGATCATCAGTGACCAGAACACCAGCATTGTGTGGGAGAGCATCAAGCGGGATCTGAATCCGGAAATGATTTACAGCTTCAATCAGATGGAAACCAATTCGAGGGTGAAGCTACCTAAGTTGTTTCGCATGTTGCTCTGGGAGTCGGACGTTGACTTTCAGATTGAAAAGATCGATCCTGTTACGAACTTGGCCCTGATCAACAACTCCATGCATCGCTTCGTCTTGAACGAGGAGATGCGAAAGATCCTCGAACAGGCTGTTGTACACAATGACTATGAGTTGGTCCTGCAGTTGTATCAAGAGACACCCGGCAATGTCCTTTACGAGGGCGCCATCAATCCAAGTATCTTCGGGTATCCAAATGGTAATTTGTTATTCTTATAAACTTTTCCCTGAACTAAATATTTTGACCTGCGTTAGTTAATTATTGCCGCTTTGCAACCCGTTTAAGCCCTGTTCTCGAGCCTTTCAACAAAACTAAGCATTCCGAGAGAATCACTGGAAACGGGTCCCATGTTCTGCACGTTCAAGGTTTGCTTCTTTCAGCCAATTTGCGAGCGCAATAAACCTCTTGACGAATACAATGAGAATGTCCTTAAACGGGGAAGGTTGCGACGTTGCTTCAATATGGATTTTCTAAAGGAGGAAGAGGAGGATGAGGACGTATTGCTGGAGCTGTATCGCGCCTTCGATGATCTGATCACAGATACAATCGGATTCATAATAAAGCGGGATGTGCAGGATATCAGTGATAGAAAGGACTTCTTCTGTTGCCAGCTGGGAAACCTGAGTAATTTGGTGCTGAAAATCTGCGGTTGTGATTTCAACATACGAATGCCAACGAAAACGAATCTTGAGTTCAGAGTGGGTATATAAAATAGTTAAAATTATTTGTTTTTTATTTTTTTAGGTTAAAGGAAATGCTGACCCACATGTACAAGGAGCTGATGGATCGCATTGAGGGGATATTTACTGCCTGCAGCTGGAAAAACAATTGCGATTGTTCGACGCTTATGGAGCATGGAGAACATGGTTTGACCCGGCTGATGAATGAAATGCGACTGCTCAGTAACTCTGGCCAGAGGGACTTGGCCATTCAGATGTACGAGGAGATCGACCACAACACCGAAAACAGAATTATTTTCGACTTCGTAACACTGCTAAATAGCGTAGAGACTTTGCAGTTCGAACAGGCAGCTAGGTATTTCATGAAACCGCAAACCAGCGATTGGAGTGGCCACTACTTTACGTGAGTATATAAGAATTATATTTAAGAAATTAAGAGCTCTAAATAAAAAAGTAAACTTGTCTCTTTGGAAATTTAATTTCATTTAGTCACCTATTTTCCATTTTTAGCGCAGATTGCTGATACAACTCTATGTAAACTACATGGTGGATCTGCGATCCCCAGACGAAGAAATCGCAGACACAGCGAAGTCAAATATGATCGAAAGTCTCCGCCGGTTTGCTGCAGAGAACAGTTTGGAATCGGAGATCTGGATTCTATTGTATTGCTTTTATAAGGAAGTCAGCTATTTGCCAGGAATGGAGTTCACGCGTTGGAAGTTTCAGAATCTCCTGGACATTACCCCAAAGCAACTCGGCTTTTACTCCTTGTTCCCTTTACGAACTTTATCTGCCAGTTGATTTTGATATGAAGGACTCATCCACATCTATGAATAATCAGTTCTTTCCCGTTTTTAAGCTATTTACTCGCTTGGGAGCCTACGCTTTTGCCGAGGTTGTATTCGCCGATATCGAACAGTGTTTTACGAACGCAGAAGTATATCTTATAAAGACCACTTTGAAGATACTACAACGGCAGATTGACGCTAAATTCAAGATTATTAATATGCCCACCGATAACAGTGTGCCGGGAAGGTTAAGGGTGAGATTATATTTCTCAACCAAAGCAAGTTTATTGAGTTAAGAACTCTTTTCTAGCGTTCTTACCAACTGCACATAAATGGCAGTGTGGAGTACTCCCGTGGACGCTGTGACGAAGCTCTAAAATATTTTTGGGATTTATTTTTAGTAACTGACCCGGACGACAAGGCATTGTTCAAGTTGAGTTTTGTGAGGCTGGGGCAATTGGCCTTTGATAGGGGTCAATATGAGCTGGCTGAAAAAGCCTACGACATCTGCTTGCCTTCTAGTCGCAGACGTAAGAACTTTATAGCCAACTATGGGAAGGGACTGAGTCTTTACCATGTGAGTTTTGAATAAGGTGTTGGATTTTTAATTATTTTGAATGTTTTATCATAGCAAAATCGACTAGAAGAGGCAATTCCCTTCCTTTCTCGCTGCACCGAAATTAACATATTCATGCCCGATGTCTGGGGATATTTGGCCACCATTAACCTGAGACTGAACCGAAATAAAACTGCCTTGGAGTGCTGGAAAATGGCTAGAATGGTTTGTATTTATATATTTTTGTAATATTCAATCAATTCAGCTTCATCCAAAATCCCTTCTCTTAGAACCCAGAACTAAGCCTTGACAAAAACGTTTATGCTGAACTGGACAAGATTCGGTACTCAGATGTCCACCTGCTTGTAGATGACGATGGGAATCCAGCGGAAAAGATGTCGAAAATGGACTTCATTCCTTTGTAATTAAGCCAAACTTAAGGCCGTAAAATAAACTCAAGAAAATATGAATTTCGCCACCAGGTGAAAGTGTCCTAAGTAAACACATCCTGAGTCTCGGCTTTCATCAAGTTTTAGCCACATTTATCACTTAAATTTAGTGCCCTACATTTTGGTGAAATTAAGTATACGCACACGCATATGTTTACAAGGTATTTTGGTGCCTCGATGTCCTTCGCCTGCCTTGTCGTGCTGGCGCTTGTCAAAATTTTAGCCGCACAAACGTGAATATGCCAACACAATGCATTTTTGGCCAAGGGCAAACCGCCACAGCAATAGCAAAACACAACCAACAGCAGCAACAACGACAGAACAGAAACAAGTGAGATACGTAGTTAAACCCTTTTGGCCAACACTCAACCCATGACAGGTGTTTGCTCTGCAAAACGTTTCAGGGGTATAGACATTTTCGCAACCATGTTGGCTATCTGGCAAGATAACTCGAGACTGTAGATTCCACTGATGTAATAATAAATATTAGTTTGGTTTATAATAACTGGCAGATGTAATCCCTTTTAATCGTTTTTTTTTCAAACGCTCTACAGCAATCTAGTAAGAATGGAAAAGTTAGGAATTACTCATAGCAAAGTAAGGGCATTCCCAATTCGATGTTTTGATCATTCAGCTGCCCTGTTGTTGTTTACCTGGCAGCGAGTGCTCTAAAATCCGCTTTGACAGCTCGGCTGTCAGCTCAACTCAACCCAAGCCGGGAGGGTGTTGTCCTGCTGCTGGGGTGTGGGATGCTGTACACTTTTTTTGCCTGTCTTGTTTGGGCCAGACCCTCAACTACATATGCTAATGACGAGGCAGCCGAAGAGAGGGCGAGGCAGCCACTCAGATCGGGCTTTTGAGCTAGTTTAAGGCCAACAACTCTCGGCTGCTGAGCACACACACTGAAAACCCACACACACACACACATTGGCTTCATCAAAATGAAATTTGTGAGCAAACACATAAAGTGAATCAAGTAACCAAGCCAGGTAGCCGGGACACATGCTGCTAATGTTTTAAGATGGCTTTAAAATGCGTTTTAGTAGACACTCCGGTTCAGGTCCATCACCATCACGCATACGTGCCCTGGCGAAAGGAAGCTCTTGTCGCTTGAACCCAACAAAATCAATTAGACACATGCATTTACATACTCGTATTCCGATTGCAGAACGTCATTCGGAATGCCTACACTCCACTCACTACCACCACCCGGCGAAACAACAATTGCAATTTAATGTGCTGCCTGCGTCTGCTAATGATAATGTTGTTATGTGCCTATTATGCCTGTTGTTTGTGGGCTCTATCGGTTCCATGGGGTCCTGTGGGTGTCTGTGGGGGACTGTCAGGAACTGTGAGGAACTGATTCGGGCCTCGGCTGCGAACACATGTCATTAGCATTTGCATTATGTGAACTTTGCTGTCTGACAGCACTCAAAGTGATGCAGTTAGGCGTCTGAACCCGTGGGCACCCGACCGAAAACACCAAATGAAATTAAAGCTGAACCCAAATGGGACCGAAATTGATTGGTAAAACTGGAAACAAGTGGATGAAACTGATAGCGAAGCTGTCATGTTGTGAGTTTCCTAGTATAATAATGCTATCGTTTCTGATATGTAATTCCGGTTTGCAATAAGAGGAAAATGCAAAAATATGCCAGTCCTGGTATAGCCATTTCATTGCTATTTTTATATTTTAACAAAGAGCTTAACATCAATATAAAATATAACCCCTTTACTTTGAACAGTTTTAATTACTCATCATTAATTTCCATCTAAACAAGAAATTGTAATGAATATAATTTTGTACGTCTAACAATGCCGGTAGATGAAAGTGAATCCCAATTACGTACTGAACCTTACAATTATGCTAGCAATAAACAAGTTGGCCAAAATCAGAATTTTAAACGCTACCCATGGCTACCCCACCTGGCCCAGAGATATTAATCCGTATGAATTTCATATGGCGAAATTCCGAAACAAGGCCAGTGGCAAGCCGGGCGCAACCTTGAGAATATGGAAGGATACTTGGAACGCTTGTGGTGTAGGAACCTGAAGCAATTTCTAATCAAAATATGCGATGGACAGGCTAATATGCAAATACCGTGTAAGCAGCTCAGACGCAAAGCAGCTCAGCTTAATACCGAAATAGCTCAGCTCGAGCTCTAGCCACCGCACATATCTTCAGCTTCGGCTAATAACACAACCGCTGAGTGAAAAATCAAAAAAAAAAGCAAAAATGGGAAAATTGTGGGTAAAACTACAACAGCTGCGTACCATGCTGAAAAGTATGCAAAGATTTTGCTCGGAATTAAGTTGGCAAAGAGCTAACGTGAAATTTACACCAGAATGGTTACAGGGCGAGCATATAAGGGGGGTCTGAACGAATGTTTGCTGGGGTGCGACATGAAATTTTCATTTGAAATTGAATATGAAAAAAAATGGAAAACCTCGTGTGCGCCGCTTGTGCGACAGCTGCTGCAATTGACAATTATTATTATTGTCAGTGCGAATGAAAAGGGGGTTTTTGGGTTTCAGGATTGAGGGCTTGGGCCGAAACATGGTTGGTATTCATATGACACCCGTGTAGCTCATAACCAAGCGCCCAAAATGCCTCGACATCCGTCGGCTTCAATAAAATTCAATGGTCGCATTAAAATCATTTAAATTCTATTGTTTTGTTTGCTTTTTCCTTCGGCTCTCCGGATTTCCATGTATTTCTTTACGACTGTCAACCGCACACCCAAACTGGGCTAAAGCCACGGAGTGTGAGCATACGACCGTGTGAGCATATGAGCATATACCATATGAGCGTGCCACACACGGCGAATGCCGCATAAGCTGTTTTCGTTGCGGATTTAGGCGATATCAGCAAATGCATATTTAATGGGCTTGCGATCAATATGATATGTGGCAGGGCCACCCCTCGCGACTCTCGCTGCCGATTAATGCAGTTTAAGGCGCGTAAAGGATTTAGTTTGCAAAATTGTTTAAAACTGCCAGCCGAGCATTTAAATTGATAATCGAAAAAGGATTTTAAACTAAATTAAGCTTAGAATGACCTTAGAGGCATAGGGTTACACTGAACTAGGCCTGTTACTCTCTATTATTAATGCCTTTAATGTGATTTAGATACATCTTTATAAAACCAGAGAGATATATCCATTGACTGTACCATGATGTTTTCCACATCCGTAACCCCATACCTCGTGACGAAATCTTCAAAATCGGAAAATGAAATCGTTGGCGTCACTTAAAAATCATAACTGCCAAAACGGAGTGGCACCTCGTGGCATCTGTTCGTGCCCTCTTCCATGGCCCTCAAACATCTCAGGTGCGATTCTATGGCAAACTCTCCTTTGGCCCCTTATGCTCCAATGTTTGCAAATTCTCAGCTTCCCAAAAAAAAAAAAGTACCAAAAACGCGAGGACGAAACACGTTGAATGTGCACAGCACGCAAAGGCAGAAATTGAGAAGGGGTAAAGGGTTTTTTGGCTTTGCCCAGGATCTCTCTTGTTTGCATAATGCCAGGCAGTCAACACCCATACACACACCCACCCACACACACGTACACACGTATTGGTGGGGAGAAAAATAAGTCAGCGGTTTTCATTTTACAATTTGATAGCCGAATAAGAATTTTCTGCTGACAGAAGTCAGAGCAAGAAATCGTTCGAAGGATTTGCAGTTTGGTGCCGTTGATTTGTTTGTTGATTTGCGTAAGTAAAGTTCGAGGGGCGGTGACTGGCCCTAAATCCTCTTGCCGAGCAACTTTATGGCCAAATTGTTTTTACATTTGTCGCATTTATAAATTATTTAAAGTGGCATAGCGCCAGCTCAGCTTGGCTTGATGAATGTGTGCACTGACCATCATTGACCCCGTGACCCCAAAAACCAACTACACATTCTAAGGCGAGGCTCTTCTAAGAAAACTGACAATAAATTTCAGTTAAAAAACATTCAAAATTAGTAAAATATTAAGTGTTAAGTTGAAATTACATTAAGAGTAATAAAAGTAATGAAACTTGAATTTAATTAAACTGAAAACACAGCCATTAACCAGAGCAACTATTTCTCTTTGTGCATACATCAGGCAGATGGACCAGTGACATGAGAGACCATAAACAGTGGCTAAACAAGGTGCTTAAATTATGCCACAAGATCTGAAAACCGGCTGTAAATAACAAGCTGGACCAGCAGCCCTCCCCCGCCCACTTCCTTCCGCCCACCAGAACTCCACCCCACCACCATACCCTCCCTTCACTTGCTTTATACCACCATTGAGGACATGCATTCATATTTATGGTTGTCTATCTGTGGCTCGTCCTCCCGTCCTACGTCCTCCCTTGGCTGCCCCGATGACAAGGCCATGCGTCGCCTGCCACAAACTGTAGCCACTGCCGACCCGGCAGTTCTCCTCCTTCGCTCCTGGTGCTCCTGGCTTGTTGCTAGTTGTTGGTCTCATGGCTGGATGACTTTGGTTTTCGAGAAATCAACGCGCACACACTTGTGTTTGTTTCTTTGTGTGTGTGTGTGTGTGTATGCTGTCCTGTGGGTGTGCGATATTTGCTAAAGTGTTTGTCTTTGCTTAGCGCTACTCAGCTGGCTGCTGTTTACACACATTTATATGAATATCAGCGGCCAGCGTTTAACTTCTGGTACCAAGCCAGCGTTGCGATTTCAGCGGTTTTGTAACCAGAGGAAGCTGCGGCTCTGGTTACGGGGTTGAAAATTTCTTTGGTTTTTCAGATGCACAGCGGAAAAAACTTTCTTAAATGGTGCATAAATAGTTATGTATGATACCGCAGTATTAGAAACCTTGACCTTAACTTTGTCAAATAAATAACGATTTTGTTTTAGGTCTCACAAGCCAAAAGTCATAAAATTCTTTAGTTAATCGTTCGATGATAACCAAACTGTATATTTTTGCAAGTGCTTTACCCTGTGACGCTTTCTGCAAGTGCGGTTACCTGCCTGACCGAAAATCGAGCATCCTTCCTTCCTGCACAAAACGATTTTAATTAAAATCGGATTCAGCATAGACGATTTCCGGAAATTTAATTGCGTGTGGCTGCAAACTTTGTTTACATTGTCTGCAAGCCGTTCAACCTGTGTGCC